TAGTGCAAGCGTAGTTCAAATCTGGCCAAATGTAGCTTTACGCGTAGTCAAAATGAAGTTTACGTATCGCTTGCTTGTACTCCATGTGGTTCAAGTGTGGCTCTAGTATAGTTAGAAAACATGTCACACACAGTTCACACGCGTGGAACATGTAGGCCAGGTGTAGCTCGAACGTAGTGCAGCTGTTGCTCAAGTGCGGTCAAGGTGTAGCCCCTGTCGTTCAAATGTCGTTCAAATCTAATAGAAGCCTCGGTCACTTGTAGTTCAACTATAGTCATGGTGTGCTCCTCGTGGATCCATGTTGTGAAACAAGTGCTGCCAGGGTGTGGTCATTGTAGTTCAAATGTAGTGCACGTCCAGTTCAGGAGTAGTTCAAGTGTAGCCCAAGTGTACTTCAGGACCAATTCGAGTGTAGTATAAATGTGACTCCAGTACACTTCAGGTGTAAGCCAAGTGTAGTACAAGTCTGGTGCGGGTGTAGCCTTTCCAATGCAACTGCAGATCTAAAAAAACAGTTCATGTTTTGTGCAGGTGTAGTTCAAGTGTGGGTCTGGTGGAGTCACTCTTGCTCAACTTGCGTTTCGGAGCCAGCTTACTTATAGCTCAAGTCTAGTTCAGGTGCAGTTCAAGTGTAGTTCAAGTGTGGTTCAGGTGTAGTGCAAGTCCAGTTCAAATGTAGTCCTGGTGTAGTTGAAGTGCGGCTCGGTTGTATTCCATGTGGTTGAAGTGTAGTCCAAGTGTCCTTCAAGTGTATTCCACTTGCAGTTCAAGTGTAGTTCAAAAGTTCAAGTGCAGTCAGTCTGGTGCAAGCTCATTAATTCTAGTCTAGTTCAAGCGTGTTTCAGGCGTGGTTCAATTGCACTACAAGCGTTGCTCAAGCGTAATTCAAGCGCAGCGCAACTGCACTTCAAGTGCACTTTGTGCACTTTGACTGCAACGCGTAGCGAGACGCACAGCAGCACCGCGCGGTGCCGCGCGGCGACAAGGGGCAAGAAACGGCCTCCGACGCGGGCCGCGCTGCCTCGCCGCTCGGCGCGAAACCGATCTGCGTGGCGCAGCGCGGCGCCGCGAGGTACAACGCGCGCGATGTTGGCACGTCGTTTGCGCGACAGGTGCGAGCGCGAGTAATTCATGACACGCGCGCGCACATCGCTATATGCGCACCAAAAAAACGGGAATGCACGGCGGCTGCGCAAAGGCGCCACATCGCGCTCTCGCGCGCATGCCAATCTAGAGAGGCGCCCTACTCCCATCTCTAATTCGGCGGCAGCGGTTTCCGCGCAACCATCCGAATGGAAACCGCTTCAACATTGCCCCCCGCCCCGCAGGTGGGGGCAGTGCCACCGCGCGCGACCGCGCCCGCCGCGGCGGGGTGCACCGGGCGACGCGGCCCAAGGACAAATGCCCCCAGCTTGCTTGCTGCGAGGCCGCGGGGGCCGCCGCAAGAGCGCGCCTCTGCGCGGCCGCCGCTCCGGCCCCCGCTCGGCCCCCGCCGGGGGTGCCCTCGCCACCAGAGTCGCGGCTGCCGCGGCCCGGGGCGCCGCCGACGCCCGCGTCGCGGACGGGGCCCGCGACCGCTGGCCCGACGGCAACCAATTGGTCGCCTGCTGCGGCAAGGTCGGGGAGGCGACCGAGCCGGACTTCGACCTCGAGATTCGCGCACGCCGCCGCGAGGCGGCGGCGGCGTCGACGCCGAGGTCGGCCGCCTCGCCGCGACGAGGCGGCGAGGGCGCCAACTTCAGCATCAACTCCAGCGGGCGTCTGTTCTCCCCGAAAGTCAATGGCGCGCGGCGTCTGCTGGAAGGCATCCCGGTCGTGGAGGAGCTTCTGCAGCGCCCGCCCCATGGCGGCCGAAAGCTCGGCGCCCTGGTCGCAGCCGCCGCCGCTCCTCTCCACGCCCAAGCGAAACCTGCCCCCTGGCGCGGCCGGCGGGAAGGCTCGCCCCCTCGCGCAGCGCCAGCGGCAGCAGCTCCAACCCCGGGGCCCCAGGGCGGCGGCGTCGGACGCGCGCCCCGCCCGCGACTTGAGGGCTGGAGGCCGTCGACCAGAGCCCGGCGCGTCACTGGAAGCGCTCGGGCGGAGCAGCTCGAACAAGCCGCTTCCTGAGCGTCTGAGCAGCGGGGGCCCCCCCGCTCCGCATGAGCCGAGCACCCTCCGCGCCGATCGATCTGACCGAAAGGCACCGCCAAGGCGTCTTCCGAATCTGGGGCCCCCAGCGACGAAGGCACCAGCGAGGCCGGTCTGGGACTACTTGGACGCTTGCCCCGTCGGCTCCGACGACGCGGCCGCCGTCCAGAGCGCAGCCGCGGGCTTCGACGCAGAGGCGCACCTCGTGCCGAGGCGCCCCCGCCGCCGCGCCGAGCACTTGGCCGACGCGGCAAGCAGCGAGGAAGACCCGCGACGCCGGTCCCGGGCGCGCGAGGCGCTGGGAGCAGCAGTTCAGGGAGAGGTCGCCTAGGCGGCAGGAGCGGCCCGCGCCCCCGCAGCTGCTGGGCCCTTGAAGCTCAACGCCCACGCCCCAAAGCCAGCTCCCCCACAGAAGGAAAGGGCCCACAGCGGCCAGCTCCCCAGCAGTCAATCGCGCAACCGCAAGCCGCGCAGCCCTCCCGCTCCCACCGACGGTGCACCCACCACCAGGCCTGCGAGCGGTGGGGGTGCCCCGCCTAGCCCCATTGGGGTGGCACCCAACGTGGCCAGGCTCTTCGCCCACTGAAGCGCCCACAACCACACCAGTCTGGTTCGTGTTCCGGGCCAGCCAGATAGGGGTTTCGCCGCGGGCGCCGTCGACTCCGAGACCTCGCCCGCCGAGGCCTGCGCACAGATCCTTCAAGCCGGCCAAGAGCAACGACACCTCCACAGTGAAACATGCTCCGCGCCATCGAGAGGCTGCGTCGGGACGACGACACGGTGGCCCAGAAGGGAACGTCGGCCTCGATCAGGCGTTCGGAGGAGCTGGACGCCTACCTGGCGAGGGCATGCGACACCCTGATCATGGAATTGTGCGGCACGCCCTTGGGGTGGGAGTTCTTCCTGAGGAAGCGCGGCGCATGCAAGCGCGCCAAGCATCTCATGCAGGCCGTGCTCTTCACGACGACCGTCTCGAACAGGGTCGCCTACGGTGAGGACTCGTTCGACTGGGGGGGCAAGGACCACGTGGCCGTGCCGGCCCATGCCCTCTCGGTGGCCGACTTTCTCCACTGCTGCTGGGAAAATTTTGTTGGAGCTCCCTGTGGGGCCACGAAGCGTATAAGGTGTGTGCCGCAATCGGTGGCGCGGACGCATGTGCACGGTGCCACTGGGGCCTTGGGCTAGTGGGGCAACGAAACGTGCGATGGGGTGTGCCAGAATGGCTGGCACGGGCATGTGGACGGTGCCCGTGGGGTCGTGGGTGGAGCTTCCTATGCACGCGTGTGAGGGGTGTGCCGATAAGGGTAGCGCGGACGCACGTGGACGGTGCCAATGAGGGCCTTGGGTGGAGCTCTCTATGGGGCCACGGAGCGTGTGAGGGGTATGCCGATTTCGGTGGAGCGGACGCATGTGGACGGTGCCAATGAGGGCCTTGGGTGGAGCCGTGTGGGGGAGACGCAGCGTGTGACTGGTGCGTCGAAGTGGGAAGCGCGGGCGCGTGTGGACAGTGCCCGTGGGGCTTTGGTTTGAGCTCCTTACTGGACGACGAAGCGTGTGAGGGGTGTGCTGACATGGGTGGCGCGGACGCCTGTGCACAGTGCCGATGAAGCGTTGGGTGGACCTGCCTATGGGGCCACGAAGCGTGTGAGTGGTGTGCCGAAATTAATGGCGCAGACGCATGTGGACAGTGCCGCTGGCGCCTTGGGTGAGCGGCCACGGAGCGTGTGAGGGGTGTGCTGACATGGGTAGCGCGGACGCATCTGCACGGTGCCACTGGGGCCTTGGGTGGAGCTCCCTGTGGGGCAACGAAGCGTGTGAGGGGTGCGCCGGAATGGCTGGCGCGGACGCGTGTGGACAGTGCCACTGAGTGTTTGGGTGGAGCTCCCTGGGCCCACGAAGCGCGCGAGGGGTGTGCCGCAATCGGTGGCGCGGACGCATGTGGACAGTGCTCGTGGGGCCTCGGGTGGAGCTCCCTACAGGGTCACGAAGCGTGTGAGGGGTGTGCTGGCATGGGTGTCAACGACACATGTGGACGGTGCCACTCGGGCCCTGTGTGGAGATGCCGATGGGGCCAAGAAGCGTCTGAGGGGTGTGCCGATATCGGTGCTGATGATGGTGATGATGATAGAAATTATGATGACGATCATGGTGATGATGACGGCGATGATCACGATTACGATGGTGACGGCGATGACGATGATGATGATGCTGCAGCTGCAGCTGCAGCTGCCGATGGTGATGGTGATGGTGATGGTGATGGTGATGGTGATGATGATGATGATGATGATGATGATGATGATGATGATGATGATGATGATGATGATGATGATGATGCTGCTGCCGCTGCTGATGATGAGGCTGATGGTGATGTTGATGGAGGGAGGAGGGGAGGAGGAGGAGGAGGACTGAGACGCGGGGCGCTGTCTCTTCAGAACGAAGACCCAACACCTCAAAATGTCCGGGAAAAACGAAGCGGGTCCTGATGGAAACAGGTCATGGTCGGAACTCTCTCCAGGACCTGCGCTAGAAATCCGAATGAGTTTTGACAACCCCGGGGGCCTGGGCAAGGGCCCCAGGGCGGCACAACGCCTCAGGCCCTGTTCCCCGTGCTGATCCTCCTCCTCTTCCTCCTCCTCCTGCTCCTGCTCCTCCTGCTCCTCCTCCTCCTCCTCCTCCTCCTCCTCCTCCTCCTCCTCCTCCTCCTCCTTCTCCTCCTCCTCTCTAAGATTGATCGGAATTCAATCGGCTCGGATCGCAGCGTCTAACCTCCTCCTCCTCCTCCTCCTCTTCCTCCTCCTCCTCCTCCTCCTCCTCCTCCTCATCCTCCTCCTCCTCGGCGGAGGGGGGGGACAGAGGGCGGCCGTGGACGGCGCCTCATAGGTCTTCTCGTCGCACACGTCGAGGAGGGCGGTCGTGCGCGAGGCCCCGGCGGTGGCGTCGTCCGCCCCGCAGCCTCCGAGAGAGGCAGCCGGGAGGGGGGGGGGGGCCGAGGACCGGGGGCCGAGGGGAGGAGGGTCGAGGACCGACGAGAGGGGAGCGTCGAGGATCGGCATGCAGTCGGCCCGCCCGTATACTAGGGGTGCGCGGCAAGGACGCAGGGGCCCTGGAAGGCGGCGTTGACGTGTTTCGAGCGAGGTCGGCCAGCGCAAGTCGCTGAGGATGGGGGTCGAAGGGGCAAGGATGAAAGGGCCCCCTTGGGACAGTTGCCCATCCTTATACTGTGCGGGTTGACTGTGGGGTCGGTCGGACTCGGCATTGCAGCAGTCTGCGCGCCGTTCTGCTGATGGACTCACACCCCGTGAGCCAGGGGCAACGTAACTCTTATGCCGCACGCCATCCCCTCAAAACGAGGAGGGGCACCCAGCCCTGAGCCTGAGCTTGCCATGGGGCACCAGGCCCGCCCGGCACAGACCAGGAGCAGGGGCGGCGGCGGTTGACTGTGGGGGAGGAGGGGGAGGAGAGGAGGGGGAACAGGGTCGGTTGGCTGGTGAGGCCCCTTGTAAAGGGAAACTGGGACACACAAATAAATATTCACAAATAAAAGGATTCCCCATATTTTCCTATATTTTCTGGGTTTTTGTCTTCCCGCCCAATTCCCATATTTTCCTATATTTTCTGGGGAATCGAGGATTAATTGTGTCTGTGTGTTTTTTCCTCTCCTGACCTTGATGGGCTGGCGCAGTGCGGCCTCGGGCTGGCCGAGGCAGCGGAGGGGCCACAGAGCCTAATTAGCTGGCTGCCGGCGGCGGCCTCCGCAGCGCCCTGCCGGGAGGAGGGGGTGCCGCCCTGGAGCGCGGGGGCGAGAACGTCAAGGCCCCGTAGACCCGGACACGCTAGACCCGGACACCCAACATCCCGGACACGGCCACGGCGCCCTCTGGACAAGTCACTAATCGACGTGTCACTGTTGGGGGTTCTGTCCGCCCCCGATTTGAGGCCGCACGTTGGGTCGACTGCGACGCCGGCCGATCATGGGCAGCAACTGCTTGCCAGGATGCCGGAGGCGGCGCCGAGGTCACCGCGAGGGCGGCCCCGCCAAGGACCCACTGCTGGAATTCAAGGCTACTCCAGATTTCGTAATAAAGGGAGGGGGGTCTCATTTCGGGGGGGGTCTCTTCCAGGCTATCTTGGAGGGCCTGGGGGGGTCTGGGGACGATGTTTTGGAGGGTTCTCCCACGGGGGGGATCGCCACCGGGACTCGGAGTCAAAACTGTGTATACGTTTCTGGCCTTTCCGCCCGCAGGACCAGGCATGCAGATAGAGGGACGGGACGGGGGGGAAGGGAGGGGACATTCATTGAATTCAACAAAATCCCCACGAACCCGGCACAGTACGTGCAGTGCCGGGGGTGGCGGACCGTCTCCCCATCCCGCCATCAAAGGGGGATGCGAAGTCCCTGGAGACGGGACGGGGTGGGCACAGGTTGGCATCATAGCCGACCCACAACCAACAGAGGCATCATAGCTTCTGATCCTCATACTGTCTAGGCTGATCCACTCACGGATCCAACACCTCATCTTCTACTCATTTCATTCCATGCGTAGCATGCTCTCCCTGATTGGGCCGTGAACGGGACTCAGTCCCCTGCCGGCCGTCCAGTGCCTGTCATAGAATTCATTGAACTCATAGAACTCAAGGGGAGGGGGAGGGCCCCGCTGCCCCCTGCTCATTGCTCTTGCCTCGCTCTTTCTCCCTTCCTTTTTCCTTTCCTTCCCTCTACTGCCTCTTCCCCCCTCGCCCGCTTCCCCTCTCCGCTGCCTCTTTTGCCCAAGGGAACAGGTCGCTGACTTTCCTCGCTCACAGGACCCCCCAATCGACGCCGCAGGAGACTCGCTTGCAGGATGCCGGACCATGGGCGTGGGCATCGTCAGGCGAGGGGCGACGTCGACTCCAACGGCTACCGCGACGATATCTACCGCGACCAGCCTTCCCATCATAGGGCAAGGTCGGGCCGTGACCATCATAGGTCTAGGTCCCAATCCATCGCACGGGACCATCACAGGCCCGCTGCGAGGAGGGGCCGCGACCATCATAGGTCGAGGTCCAGGTCCAGGGCACGTGACCATCACAGGCTCATGCCGCGGACCACGGGTGGCCGCCACGAGGCCCCCAACCGGTTCCCCTCACCAGACAGCTTGCTCTGCCCCAACTGTGGCATCCGCGGCCACCTCGCCAGGGACTGCCCTCTGCACAGCCCCGGGCTCCCAGGGAAGACACCGCCTGCCTCGCCCATTGGGGCTCCCGCCAGGGTGGCACACGGGTTGACACCGAAGGCATCACCGGCAGCGCGGCCGCCCCACCTGCCGCTGGCTGATCCCCACCACGGTGCCCAGAGCCTCGATCGGGCTCCGCACCGGGACCAACACCCCCCTCGCGGCCTCCCAGGCACCGGGGGCTACGGCCAGGCCCAGGCGCACCCACCCAACCGCCCCGGGGAGCCGGAGAGCAGGGTGCAGGCCGCCAAGCTTGCCATCCAAAAGCTGTCCGACATGGAGGTCCGTGAGTTGCTGTTCTCAGGGGACGCCGTCGCATCTAAACTCCTGGAGACGGCCTACGGCCTGCCTCCCGACTACAAGCCCGACCTCCCGTTCGGCACGGAGGACTTCATTATGGAGCGCAAGAAGTGCAACGCCGAGATGATGCGCAGGTGCGTCTCCTTGTGCACTGCCAAGACCCGGAAGGAGATCTCCCAGAACGTCGACGAGCACTGCCCCTACATCATGCGGGCGCAAGCCAGGCGCAACCTGCAAAAGATTGTGCCATTCGTGCCCCTCGACTCGGATACCTTCTCGTTCTCGGTCTTCCTCGCTTGGATCTCGACCCAGAGCCCGTACAAACGAGCCGAGCAGTCCACATCAGGCGAGTGCCTGTCCAACATGACCCACACGGTCGCCGCCCTTCTTGCGGACCACGGCCAAGCGCATGTCGAGGCTACGGAAGCGATCCCTGAGGCGCAGCCTGCGTCGTCTCACACGCTCCGGGCGCTCTGCCCCCTCAGGGCATCCCAGAAGACGGCCATCCAGTGCACGCTCGACGACATCAAAAAGTTCAAGCCTGACCGCATGCACCAGGCCAGGGCCACGAAGACCATCGACTGGGCCATTGACGAGGCCGTGCCGACGGAGGAGGCCCCGGTGTTGGATCGGCAACGCTACCAGGCCTACCGCAAGGCGATCGATACCATCGTGTTGCCGAAGGGCCGGACGAAGAAGACAGACCCGAAGGTCCTCGGGATCTTTAAGGACAAGGCGTCCGAGCTCGGCGTTCGATTCGACGAGAAGCGCATTGGGGACCTGTCACAGCTCATGGCGGCCATCATGGCCAAGACGCGCACGGACGAGCGTTGACTATCTTCACGCGCGCGCGCAGGAGCGCACCGCGCAAGCGGTGGTGTTTGGGATCTTCACGACGACGGGATGCCGTGCATTTCCAGAACCCCCGAGATCCGATTTTGCAACATCACCTCCCTGGCATTGGTCCGCCATGCCCTCCGCAGCGCGTTCGCCGAGAATGTCTTCTTATGGCCATGCATTTTTGCGCTTCTCCGCATGGGCATTGCTCTCACCGCACCCTTCCTGATGTCCTCCACCCACGCCTTCTACAGCAAGCTCCGCACACTTGCATCTTCACTCCCATCCTCTACATGGCCACCGTCGCCGGACCTCCTGCATGCCGAATTCGTCGTGTACATAATCTGGAGTCCCTGGCATAAACATTACTACGTCGGCAAAACGGTCGACTTCCAGGCCCGCGTGCGTCGGCACCTTCAGGGGCTTCTCTACCCGGGCAACTACAAACCACAACCGTACATGCTCTTTCTCTCAGCTCTCTTTGGGGGCGACCTTGCGAGGGCTTCCTCATCGCTTATCTTCACGCCCATCGGTCGCGCCCAGAATGACGCAGAGCTCTTGACATTGGAGAGGCACGTCATAGACACGATGCACCCGCCACTGAATGAACCATACGTGCAGCGGCTCCTAGACGGTAAGGGGCCACGCGGGCGGAGGCCCCGCCACTACTACACCTACTGCCCTCCCACACCTCCTGCACGGCTAACTCAGCACCGCAAGTTCGCTCAGGACACTCCCCAATCGCTACGAGAAGGGAGTGGTGTGCAGAAGGGCGCTGACATGATCCGCTGGTGGGCAGCCGGTGCCTGCAACACGCTTGGTTCACCTACATCTGGTCAGTGCCGCAGGCATATCTTCAAGGTCTCGCCGGCGGAGTTCTACGCCATCTGGAGCAGGGTCCACCGAGTGGCGGAGGGCCCACCGCGTCGCATGGGGCTCATCTTCCTGGACCGCGTGCGGCGCTTCCGGGGCTGGCCTATCCCTCGTGCATCGATTCACGTATCCTTGCCATGGCTTCCACGTAGCAACGCCCGGCGAGCGGCACGTTCACTACTATCGGACATGGTTGTCCACTGCCGCTCACGCGGCTACGGCCTGCTACTGCCAGCGCTGCGCCACCTTCGCATCGGCGTGGCACCACGCCCAGCCTCCACACTTGGCAGGATACTTCGCAATGCGCCACGCTTCTATGCACGGTTGCACGAGACCGCGCCATGGGAGTGTTTGTGCAATGCTTTTCCGGCGCTTCCCCGGGTCGAGTCGCCGGACGGGCAGTTCCACATCTTTGCCCCGCAGGAGACATGGCCGTGGCAGGGCGACCAGTCTCGTCTACGGACGGCCCCTGCTCACGTTGCGGTCGTTCCTGTACGGAGTATATTGCTTAAGAGTTTCACCCAGCTCACCAAACGCCTGGCTGCGACCATAGGGGCGGGGGTGGACGACGGGCCGCTCGAGCAGATGGCGGCGCGGGCGGCTGATACCTACTGTGGGACGGCAGGTCTTGCACCCTCTAGCCTCGATTTTGTACCGGTCACCTACGAGGAGGTGGCCGAGATGCGGCGTTCCCTGAAGGGCCTCGTCATTGAGACCTTCCAGAAGACGCGCCGTGTAATGGTCGCCGAGTGCCCTCGGCGAGTGCAGCTACTATGCCATAAACTTTTTGGAGCTGACGGGACGGACCCGCACTACCAGTACTTCCCCGACCTCACTGCCGAGGCCGTTCTACTGCGTGTGGCCGACATTCCTGGGCTCTCGCCTGAACTGCAGCCCCGGCGCATCAGCAGGCCATCGGCTTGGAAGATGGCCCGGGCAAGCGCCCCCAACAAGAAAAGGGCGAAGCCAGACGACCGCCGACCCATCGTCAACCGTTCGGCCTGGCCTACGGCATGCCTCGACACGCCGGCGGCTCGGGCGCTGGACTGGGTAGGGGCCTGCTACCTCCCTCAGCATGCCCACATTGACATCCACAGGGCCGACGCCATCATCGAGCTGCTCCGCGAGTTTATCGAGGTCGGACCATCTACCCCGGTCCGAGCATGCGGCTCCGACGTCGTCAGTTGTTTCACGAACATGCCCCACGAGCTCATCGTCCGGGCTTGGTCTTTCTATCGATCTACCCTGCAAGGGTCGATCCAGGCTATCCGCGTGGCGCGCCGTGGCAGGCGCGCAGTGTCATCAGCAGGGGCGCCTCCATCCCGAGTACACGGCCAGTGCATGACCATCACTATTGACGACATCGATGTGCTCATACGGCATCACCTATTCACGGGTTTTTTCATGTTGGGGGAGCTGGTAGGGATGGAGGTGGAGGGCCTGGCGATGGGCAGCCCCATGGGTTCGGCGCTTACCCGGATGGCCTTAATCTTTTGTGACCTTACCTTCTACTACTCCTTGCATGGCCCTGAACTGCCCCCGTTGGGATACAGGGGCCGGGTATATGAGACCGTTATCTTGGGTCACATGGTGTGGCTTCTCGAAGTGCGGTACATGGACGACTACCTCCTTCTCTGGAAGGGCCCTTCCTACCTGAATGCTCGGGACATCGGGCTGCTCTCCAGCCGCCTGGCACGACGAGCAGGAGAGCGGTACCCCCTACCGCTCGAGCGAGACGATGGCCTCACATTCGTAGGTGTTGACCTGAAGCTCAACTTGGACGGCAGCGTGGCGGCATGCCCTTCGATCGGCCATCTTGGGGGCAGGGGCGGCACCTTTGAGTTTGAGGGTTTTTCGCCGTACTACAGCTTCATCCCGGATGGCACGAAGCGGGGTATCATCTTGGGCATTGTTGCGCGCGTGACCCACTTCACGTTTCCGGACAACTTGCGCTCCGAGGCCTTGCGTGCTTTCCGGGACCACTTGACGGGGGTGTCAGGCTACCCGGTTTCAGTGTTTGACAGCTGGGCTAGTGAGGGCACCCGCCACTGGCCATTTCAGCTGTGATGCATGTGCGGTGGATCGGCCCCCACAAATACCTGCTGCATGGTTGTCGGCTCGCGGGCAGAAAGGGCCCTACCCCCCCATCCCTCCTGTCTTTCCCTCCTCTCCCTCCCTTCCCTTCTCGGTGGGTCCGGCTCTCCCTCTGCCTCCTCCTCCTCCTTCCATTGAAGGGGCACGCATCACGAATTTCGGTGCCTCTGAGGCCGGAGTGTTCTCCTAAGCACTGGCGAAGGCTCTCCTAAGCAGTGGCGAGCTTTGGGTGTACCGGCCTATCCGCTTAAAACCGGCGTGCCGGCCCATCCGCTATCGTTTGGCTGGTTTTGCCGGGGTCCCCGGGCTACCCCACCGCCAACTCTTGGTGGCAATCTAAACGGTCGAGGAAGTGACCTCCGGTGTGTTACAATTTATCTCCCTCCTGCAGGTTCGGATCGCCACCGGGACTCGGAGTCAAAACTGTGTATACGTTTCTGGCCTTTCCGCCCGCAGGACCAGGCATGCAGATAGAGGGACGGGACGGGGGGGAAGGGAGGGGACATTCATTGAATTCAACAAAATCCCCACGAACCCGGCACAGTACGTGCAGTGCCGGGGGTGGCGGACCGTCTCCCCATCCCGCCATCAAAGGGGGATGCGAAGTCCCTGGAGACGGAACGGGGTGGGCACAGGTTGGCATCATAGCCGACCCACAACCAACAGAGGCATCATAGCTTCTCATCCTCATACTGTCTAGGCTGATCCACTCACGGATCCAACACCTCATCTTCTACTCATTTCATTCCATGCGTAGCATGCTCTCCCCTCCCTTTTATCACGAGATCTGGAGTAGACCCGGACACCCAACATCCCTCGAAAACAATTTTTCAAAACGGCGGCACGAACAAAATACTGCACTGCAGCATTTCCAGAATTAACCCGGAGACAGGCCCCAAAAGCCTGCAGGGCACCCTTGAAGCCCGACACAAACCCAAATCCTGCAGTGCAACAAACAAAACATGCACGGGTGCTGAAAAACGTGACTTTGCAGGAAAGGATGCCGTTTCCTTTGTTTTCCGTGTCCTGGTTTATCTGTGTCCTGGTCTCCGGGAGCCTGAGAACGTTCGCCGCCCTGCGCTCCGGAGGACAGGGAAGAGAGACAATGAGGGGAAGAGGGTGGCCTTCGAGGCGGGCGATCTCCTTCTCGATCCGCTGTTTCTTCTTCATCTCCTCCATCGCCTTTTTTTTGCAGCGGCTCCTGGCGTACTCCTTGATGTCCTGTCGGGCGCGGGGGGGGCGGATCTAAGGAACCGAAGTTTATACACCGATGCTGTGTTCCGGTCCCGCACTGAGATTCGCATAAGAAAACGGATTCTGGTGTATACGGCATCCTGGTGTATACATTGTTTTGTTGTTTCCCCCGGAAAACGGGGACAACATTATACACCACACCACCCCGACGTCGCCCCCGACCTTCAAAAAAGCCCTGGGATTGAAAAACCGCCCGCCACTGGTAATATATATGCTCCAGTTTCCGAGGATCCTCCCCTCCCCTCCCGCCCGTGCCGAAGCTGCCTTATGCCCCCCTGCGCGAAGGATCTGAGGACGCACGGGGCACCACTGCAGGCGTGCCAGCACGCCCAGGTGCGCATTTCAGGTCCGCGTGCCAGAGCGGGACCCGCGGGGCGACAGCGGTAGGTGCACGCGCGTGCACTCAAGAGGTGATGACCTCCACGACGCAACTCGGCGGCAGTGCTGGCGCCCTGCATATACACCACACGCGTGCTTTCAAAAGGTACTGACCGCCAGGACACAGCCTGGCGGCAATGGCGGCGGTGCTGCACACATGCCTCCACACTCGAAGCAATGGCCTCCAGGACACGACGGCAATACGGGCGGTCTGGCATTGGTACACGTGCGCATACAAGAGGTACAGACCTCCATCCAGGACGCAGCCAAGTGGCAAAGCAAGCGGGCCTGCATGCACAGTGCGCGTGCACACAAGAAGTACTGACCTCCCAGGACACAGCCTGACGGTAATGCCAACGGTCCTGTACACACCACACACGTGCACTCAAAAGGTACGGACCGCCATGACAGCCCAGCGGCAATGCCGGCGGTTTTGCGTACACCACGAACACGTACACTCAAGAGGTCCTGACCTCCAGGACACAGCCCAAACGGCAACGCCAGCGGTCCTGCACACATGGCTTCAAGGACACAGGCTGGCGGCAATGCTGGCGGTCTTGCGTACATTCGACACATGCACTCCAGAAGTGCTCACATCGAGGACACAGCCCAGCGGCAACGCCAGCGGTCCTGCACACGGATTGCCATCCATCTGCCCTGGTGTTTATTCTCTCCACGCTCCGCCTGGTCCCCTTTCTCCCTTTGCCTTACTCTTGCCTGCCTTCTCTTCTCCCTCGAGTGGAGCCGCTCTCGTGTAACACCATATGCCGTCGTCAATCTACAGTCGGGCTGCTGAAAGAAGGAACGCCAAATAAGGAACGAAGCCCCTTTATGGCCCCACAAGCGCCTGCGAGGACGACGAATGCTAGAGAAACAGCCACGGAAGTATCTAAGGAACATCGAGCCCCTTCCGAACCCAGCGTGCTCCTTATTTCAGCGTCTGGATTGTATGCGCCTTCCTCCTGTAACCCCCGAGGTGATCAGTCACGCGTTGGATCAGGACCCTTCTCAAAGGTGACGATCCATGGTATTGCAGAGCAGGTCCCATCTGTCACCCATGGGTGGCGCTCCGTCCTGCTGTGCAGCAGGCCCCCCCCCACCTGTCACGACGAGAGTGGCGAGTTGTCCTGTTGCTAAACAGGCCCCCCCTGTCACCCCGAGGGTGGAGCTACGCCCGGCTGCACAGCAGGTTCACCCTTGGCACCCCTCGGGTAGAGAATCCTCCTGCTGTGGAGCGAGGAGGAGGAGGAGGAGCGAGGAGGAGGAGGAGGAGGAGGAGGAGGAGGAGGAGGAGGAGGAGGAGGGAGGAGGAGGAGGAGGAGGAGGAGGAGGAGGAGGAGGAGGAGGAGCGAGGAGGAGCGAGGAGGAGCGAGGAGGAGGAGGAGGAGGAAGAGGAGGAGGAGGACATCAATGATTCGGGCTTCCTCGGGCTCTCCATGCTATTGAGGCCCTCTTGGGCCCCGCCCTGCGGGCTCGGCTGCGAGTGATGGCGTGATGCTGGAGGCCTGGAAGTGGGCACCAACACCAAGACAGGGGGGCTGCCTCCACAGGGGGGGGGGGGGGAAATAGTCCTGGATTTCGGTGCTGGCGGTCATACTTCGGGCACTCTGGAAGCCGGCATATGACCACCATCGCCGAGATCGGGATCTGCTTCCCTCGGTGGAGGAGCACCGCCGATCTTGGTGCTGGTGTCAGTCTCCAAGGCCTGCGACATGGTGGCTCCTTGTCCGCCTGCGCCGCCATGGCCTTGAGCTCTCCGACGGTGAGCCCCTGCAGCTCCTGCCTGGCCGCGCGGGAGGGCACGGGGGGGCGAGGGGCGAAGGGGGGACGCAGCAGTGGGGGCGGAGGGAGGTCGGCCAGGAAGAGGTGGCTGATGTCAGGTCGGGCCTGCCCCCCTGCAGGGGGAGTTTTGGACGACAAGCAATAATAGTAATAATAATACTAATAATAAGGATAATGATAATAGTAGTAATGAATTATTCGTAATCATCATCCTTATAATAATGGTAATACAAATAAAACAATGGGAAGTACACCCAACATCTTCAAACATAGTTTCTTCTGTTTTGTTTTACAAACAAAACATCGTCCCCAGACTATTTCTGGACTGTTTTTGAATATTTCTCCTGTAGAGGGACAGGCCCGACTTCAATGTAGTAATGGGGGCGGCGGGAGGTCGGCCAGGAAGAGATGGCTAATGGAAGTGTCTACGGCTTTTGAAGTAGATCGACAAGCATAAGCTGAACAGATGCTGAGCTCATCCAGGTGAGGCTACTCTTCCCTAAATTTCGACGTGCACGCTGAAACCGACGGATGACACTTCTCAGGCCTGGACACCTAGAGAGAAACAAAACGGCGTCACTCTGATCTGCGCTAGATCAAAAACATCACGCGATGCTTTGTTTAACCATGCACAATGCCAGTGAACTAACTTGTGCCTCTGGGACAGTGCGATCTGTCCTCGCGGTAGCTGGTCAGGGAGCGGGAGATGGTGACGACGAGTCGGGACGACGAGGAAGCAGGACCGACGAGTGGGTGGGAGGAGTAGCGACAACAGGAGAGGGAAGGGGGACAAAGCAGAAGGCGAGGAGGGAAAGGTGAGGGGGAGACGGGGGAGGCGTGTTCCTCCTCGCCCTCGTCGTGGCGTCGCCCGATCGGATGTGGGACGAATCAGACCGACTCCTGCGATGACGGGCATCACGCCGCTCCTCTTGACACGGCGCCCGTGCCGCGCAGCCTACCTCAGTCGGCCCGCCTGAGCGCGTCTGAGGCCTGAGCCTCCGCGCGCCTCGGGGATCTTCTGACCCGGGTCAATCCAGACCCGGGTCAGCAGGAAACCAAAAAAACTGCAATGCAGGAACAAAAAAAATGCAACGCAGGTCTTCGCAAACCCGGGTCAGTCAATATGCGCGGCCGCCTCGCGGCCACGAGCGGCTCGCTAACCCGGGTCAGCCAGAGGGGGTCTTCGCAGGATCCCGCAGGATCCGGTGCCCTGGCTGACCCCCGTTTGCATTGACCCCCGTCTCGAGGCTCCCGAGCGCCTGGATACGTCACGGGGCCGGTCCCGTGAAGCAGGCCCGTGGCTGCACCGCGGGTGCCACGGACACGGGCTTCGCTGCCCGGCGCCACGGCCCCGAGAGGGCCAGGCGCCACGCCCAGCCGGCCGCCCTCCTGGCGATCCCCCTGGCCTTTTCCGACGGGGCCACGCGGGGAGGACCGACCTGCGAGATGCAGCGCCTCCTCCTCCTCCTCCTCCTCCTCCTCCTCCTCCTCCTGCTCCTGCTCCTTCTTCTCCTCCTTCAACTCCTCCTCCTCCTCCTCCTCCAACTCCTCCTCCTCCGTCTGCTCCTCCTCCTCCACCGCCTCCTCCTCTTTCTTCTCATCCCTCTCGGCATCCTCCACCTTGTCCTCTTCCTACTGCCCAGCCTACCCCGCTCACATTAAACTTATGCAAGTTCTGCTTCTCAAGCCCTCCTCATTCGCCTGCCTTCTTCGTCCTCCAGTCTTCCTCTATCCATCCATTCCCATGTTCCACCTGCCCCCCATCCGAGATCATTCCCCAACCACTCCTCCGTGCTCCCTCCCTTCACTCCTTCCGACCCACCTCCCGCCCACACGTTCCTCCCTGGCCCCTCCTTCGCTCTTGCATAGAATGCTTAGCGCAACACGTTACATAAACACTTGCCCCTCTCTCCTCATGTCGGGTAGACGAAAAAGGGGGTGTCAATCGAGGCGCCTGTCCGCAACTACCAAAGAAAAAGGCTACCGCTCTGGGGTCGCGAACTCCTGGGAGAAGGCAGACGCCGAAGCGAAGCGCAAATCGCCAAGGCGAAACAGACAGGCCCGCGAGCGTGCATGGGTGGGGTGGGGGACTGGCCAATCTCGGGAAACAAACAGGGACATGACATGAATTTTGGGAGGTCCGCGCGGAGTTGCCGGGTTCGCGCTGCATACCCCTCCATGGCGCGCGGAGCGCGCCGGAGGCGCCGCCAGGGGGCTCCAGCGACGATGCGAGAAGTCCGCGCGGAGGAGGAGGAGGAGGAGGAGGAGGAGGAGGAGGAGGAGGAGGAGCAGGAGGAGGAGCAGGAGGAGGAGCAGGAGGAGCAGGAGAAGGAGGAGGGGAACGATTAATTATCTTCATGCCGCTTTGTGCCCTTCGTAACAGAAAGCGCGCTCGAGCCGCGGCGGCGGCTGCCGGGGCCTCTTGCTGTCGCTGCGGGAGCTCTTCCTATCGAGGCCTCGGCCGGGCACCCTGCACTCCCTCCCAGGCACATGTCCGCCTCCCTCCTCCTTCCACCCTCCTGCTTCCTCCTCCTGCTTCCTCCCGCTTCCTCCTGCTGCTCCTCCTCCTCCTCCTCGCCCAGCCAACCCTCCTTCCTCCTCGGCCACCCTCCTCCTTCCTCCTCCCTCCGTCCTGCTGCGAATCCTGGAGGAAGATGTGGTCCTCTTTTACGGTGGGCAGCACGGACGTAAGCTCCACGAGCGAAATGTTTGACCCGAACGGCGTCGATATCGACGGCCGCTCGACCTACATACACAACTGATAAGCTTGTCACCCAATCGCAGCGTCATGTTCTAACGCCCGCACTCGGCGAATGAGCCGAACGAACAGACGGGGATATGCTGGCTGTAAATGGCCTCTGAGACTGGCAGACTAACACCGGTCCCCACCCAAGCAAATTTCAATGTTCGAACGGGCGTTGGTTGCAAACACGTAGCTGGGCACAGGTTCAACAGTGGCTAGAATGCGAGCTTGAACGTGCAGGGGACTCCTTACATGCACTTTACTGTTTTATGTACCGCGCAAAGCTCACGGACGCGCAGGGTTGTATGCGTGTTCGGTCGTGCTTTTCAGTGTCAGTAGAAACTGAAAAGAACCAAAATATGAGAACTCAGCCTTACGCTGATGTCAGCCAAAGGCACTCCTTGGAAGTCTGGATGCCCTGCCGACCCAGTTCCTAACGCCCGCAGGCGTGCTGTCAGACGTGGGTGCCAGAAGCTGATTGATGGCTTCGGAACGCCCTCCATCGCGCTGCGGAACTCTTCCAGATTAGCCCAGCACCCGAAATCGTCATCCCGCTTTCTCATGACGATATTGTCGACACCGCTGTCGTGCATTCGCCTGCCCCACGAAAGAAACAATCTGGATTTCTGTACTAGCATAGAAAGTCCTGGTGGCATCGCCTCGCAGATTTACTACCTCGTTGCTTGAGGTCTGGTCAGCGCCACGCCTGCCAGCAGGTGGAGTCTTTCCTAACCTGGCTCTTGAAGCGAACGCGTGGCATCCTTAACGGGAACGCAATTGCCCTTGGGTCGATAGTGCGGTGCTGCCTTGATAACTCGTCCTTGAAAATTGTCTGGTACAAAGTAGCCTCCAACGCACCGCTGCCGTACTACAAGTCGTCCCATGATGACTGTGACGGAAAATCGTGCTGCTCGTGCACAATAACTAAACCATCGGCCGGCTCTGGTGAACGGATCGCCCACCTGGTGCGTCACTGTAATTGCTGCGCGATTCTTCGTTGAAGACTGAAGCGCCAAATATCATCAAAATGCCGACCCAGAACATGCCAAACGTAATCCCCAATATCGCACGAATTCCATAATAGTGCATTGTTCTGTGGCGTCGGGGAAGAATGTTCTGTTTGGGGACGCGATGACGGGGTTTCCAAACACAGTGTCCCAATGAAACTAAACGAACGCCCGCCTCGGGACTTCTGGCCTTAACGGAACGACGTATGTGCGAGGAAACCTGGACTGGAGATGGCTGGCCTTAGAAAACCAGGACTCGTGCCTCGTCAACCTGTGGCCGCTTAGTTGCTCGCGCCGCTGCGTAGGTCCCTTCGAGAACGACATCGGCAGCATGCGATAAACGTCACCAAGGGGGAACCGACAATGTGTCGAGGGTCGAGGTCGTTGCAGCTTTCCTGGGTCATCGTTTGTCCGCTAATGCATTGCAAGTGCATTCGTCGCTCCACGAACCCCAAAACGTCCTCCAACAATTACGAACACCTTGGGTGAACCATCGGTGGGGCTCTGGAGTTCGAAGGAGGCTAGGGTAGCGCAGCTCATCGCCCGCTCCTGAACCGATTCGGTGCACGACTGCGATTCTCGATGGCGAGCGATTGCAGCAGCGCCCCTAAATTTCGCCATCTGATTTGGCGCGGGCGTCGGGGAACAAACCCGGGGCGGCCGGCCAAGAGGTTAGGGTGGGTGGCGAAGTGCGGTCGTCAAATCGTCGTGGGGTCGGTCGCGCTGATGGTTGTCGTGCTAATGGTGGTGGTTGTCGCGCTGATGTCGGTCGTCCCGCGGTGGGCATGGGAGCGGTTGCCCGTGGCGGTTGCGGTCGAAGCCGTCGTAATGGCCGCGGCGGTGGTCGTGCTAGTGGTCGCGTTGGTGGTCATGCTGGTACTCGCGGCGGTCGCGGGAATCGCGGCGTTCGCGGTAGTCCCGGGGGTCGCGGCGGTCGTGGTAGGCGCCCGTGCAGCGGTCCAGGCGGCGGTCGTGCAGGTGGCGGTCGTACTGATGATAATTGCGTTGGTGGTGGCGGTTGCGGCGGGCGCGGCAGGGGTCGGCGGTGGCTTGCTGCCCCAGCGCGCCCAGGAGCATCTCTGCGTTTTCTGCGTGGGGCGTCGCGGAGATTTCGCGACCGAAGCAGCTCGGAAGCTCTGGGCCCTCGTCGCGATCCAAGCCGCCTCCGTAGCTCCGCGCGAAGGCGGCGGCCCCTTCAGATGGCCGCCCCCCAGCCTCGAAGACCGCGGGGGCCTCGGGGGGGGCCGGGCCCGCATGTCCTAGAAGACCGCCTGTGCCGCCGCAAGGCCGCTCCTGCGGGGTCGGGCCTGCCTGCGCGGGGCATGGGCTGAACATGCGCAGGTCGCGGCCCAACCCACGAGAATGCGGCGCCCGGCGTCGCGGTCGATTGCGGCGGCGCCCAGAGCGGCCTCTTGCATGCGTCAGTCGGCGAGGCGGCGGTCGCGAGCGGCGGCCCGCTACTCGGTCGGGGCCGCGCGTTTGGCGTGCTCGGGATGGCGGTTGGCGCGCCAGTCCCAAAGGCGATTGTGCCGGCGCGCCTTGAGCCCCCGACCTCGCAGACCCTCGCGGACCAGCCCTTCCTTTCACATGGCTCGTCGTAATGCTGTCCCGCGCTCTCGCGCGCGCGCGCTGGCGTCGGGCCCCGTCGTGGCAGGCGGGCGCGTCGAGCCGCGTCTTCCGTTGGTGAGGAAGTGCTCGTCTGACTGCGCGGCGTCGCCAGACCGCCGGGGCAGTGCGAAGGGCCCTGCCGCGGTCCTTCGGCAGCGAGCGGCGGCCATCCTCGCCCAGCAGGGCGTTCGCGAACAATTTCTTGCTGGCCTCAGAAGTGGCTTTGCCCCGACGCCCCTGCCGCATGTGATGCGGCCCCCGCGGGTAGTCCAGCGGGCGCGGCGCCTCGCCCCTCGGCGCCCCAGAGGCCTGGAACGTTCCGCCTGGGCGAGAGCAGGGGCGGCGCGCGGGGCGCGGGCGCTGAACTCCCCCGCGGCGCTGACTCCCGAGCAGGCCGCCACGTCGCGAAGGCAGCGCGGGCCCGGCCGGCAGCAGACTCTCAAGTGCAGCGAAAAGAACGCTGTCGACCTCCTCGACCCACACCGTCCGCAGGTTCGCCCCACGTCGACCCGCCCGAGGTGATGTGCAGCACATTCCTGTCCGCATTTGCAGAGGATGGCGCTGGCGGCCTCGGCAGGAAGGCCGACGGCTCGCGACTCCTGGAAGCGAGCGGTGAAGGCCTGCGCGCGGCTCGCTGCGGCGGCCTCGTCGGCTCCGGCGCGCGCCAGAACCCTGTCCTTCCCGCTGGTCGATCCAGGGCGCGGCCTTTCTGAAACACCTCAGGGTCTGTGCCCCGAAAGCGCTGAGGCCAGGCGGCAAGGGGGCTCGCGGGTCCGCCGCGCGCGCGTGTCTTACCGAGGTTGACCGGCAATGCCAAGGCGCGCGAGCTCCGCGGGAACAGGCTGGACAGCCGCAGCGGCGTGCTCTGGCGGGGTATACGTAAACTGCGATGTCGCCCAACTGAGGGAAGACCCAGCACTCTGGCGAGAGCTGATGCAGCCAGCCGCTGATTTCGCCCAAGGCCCCCGCCACGGTGACCACGAAGAAAGCCAGCGAGAGCGGGCACCTCTGTCGACCCCGGCCAGTCGCGCGAACGGGCTCCACGTCGTTGTTCTGGCATAAGACCACGCGCGTGGCCCCCCCCCCCCCGAGCCAGCGGCGCGCAAATCCTGGCAGCGCAGGCGCCCCGGCGCGCAGACCGCCCAAGGATGTGATCTGGGTAGGCTGTTGCATGCGTTTTTGTTGCAATCGAACGCGAGGATTGCGACCCAGGGGTTGGCCTCGTCTGCGCCGAAATACACTTGCGCATCACCTCGCAGCCCAGTGGCTTCCCAACTGAGAACTGGTTCAGCCCGCGCCCGTGTTTGATGTCTTCTTGGAGGACGTCGCAGGTGGCCCTGGCGGCAAGCCGACGCAACGCAGTTCCGCACGCAATTGGCCAGACACCCCCGTTCGGCTTGCGGAGGGCCACGAGGCGCGGGCTGAGGTTGGCTTGCGTAGCTTCCACGGTAAGAAGGCCGCCAGGGAAGAATCGGGCCGGGCGAAAGGGGGGGGTAGCAAAGGGGGGGGGGGGGGGGGAGAATCAGCTCACGTAGCTGATTTTCCCAGAACCTCCCGGCGCCGGAGGCGCCCATGTATCGAGGACTGGGCGCCTCGGCGGGGCCGAAAGCAGCTGCATGCAGCAAATTTCGTAACCCCCCCTTTCCCTATCCCCCCCCTTTCGTCCGGCCCGAAAGAACACCGCCATCTTGGCGACTTAGTCCAACGCCGCCGAATCCTTCAAGAAGGTACGCGAACGCTCAAACCGCAACCCACTCGGCCCAGCGCCAGACAGCCGTGGACCTCTGGCAAGGTGACGCTTCACAGCCGCAGCCAGATCGATGTAGGTATCTGCGCCTGGACGCGCGACGCCTGCGGCGTCCGGCGGGGCAGCGCCCGGAGGGAAGAGTGCTTGAAGGTCGGACAGCACCCCTTTCCCCCGTGTCCACTGCGGCCGGGCGAGAGCCGCGGGCCATTGCCTTACTGACCAGCCCCTCGCCGACAAGACCTCCACGGCCTTCGCGTCTTTCGCAGGGGGGTCGGCCCGACGGGCCCTCAGCGGCCCAGCCCCTGCTTCGGGGTGCGCTTCCCTCTGCAGCGCTCCACGTTCTGCGCCGTG